GGCTAATTCCTTTCTTTCCCCCCTTCTGCTTAATTGCTCACCTTATTCATTCCACTAGACGTTGGCACTATTGGCTTATGGTCTCTTTCTAGGATATCTTTGAGAATTTTTTTGAGTGCTAATTTGGTGGTTATAAAATTCTTTTTTTGTTGTTGTTCAGGCTGTGTAGTTCAGGCTGGCCTTAACTTACTATGTAGCCTAGGCTGGCCTCAAACTCACAGCAATCCTCCTGCCTCAGCCTTCAAGTGCTGGGATTGCAGGTGTGCACCACCATGCCTGGCTTAGGAGGGCTTTTTGTTTTTTGTTTATTATTTGTTTTTGAAATACGTTCTTGCTATATAGTTTAGGCTAGACTTGAACTCACTATGTAACCCAGGCTGTCCTGGCACTCACAGCAATCCTCCTGCCTCAGCCTCCTTAGTACTGGGATTATAGCCTGCAGTACTATGCCTAGTTGAGCCAGGAGTTTTGGGGGGCATTTTGTTGCTTTGTTTTCTCATGTTTCTATTGTTTTTGTTTGTTTGCTTATTTTGTTTTATTTCATTTTGCTTTGTGCTAAGGGTTTAGGTTAGATTATATTGGAAAGAGATCTGTTTAGTTAGTATCTGCTTTCTAGTGATGCACCCTGAGCATGGCTAACTAGGCCTTTATCTCTGCCCCAAGATCAGACCACCTCCTTTAATTTGAGGAGGGGAGTATGCAGTGTAATTGCCCAGCACCCAGTTTTCTGGAAATGAACCACAGTATTGATAACACAAAACAAATAGGATGTTGGCATACAGTAAAAACCGATTACTAGCAACAACTATTCTTCCCTGGCAGTAGCAACAAAATCACCAATCATAATAGATTCAGAGATAAACTGGGAACCAATAAAAGCTACCATTGTACACTATTAACAATAGTGAAGATATCTGCAATAATAATGTAGACACAAAGACAAACCAAATACTGACATATAATACCTACTAAATGCAGCAACTATACCAGTATTAACAGTAGAAAAGAATTAAACAGTAATGGCATAGTCAAGTAACTACCATGTTTCCCAAAAAAAGACCTAACCAGAAAATAACCTTGAAAACTAGAGATCAAAAATGCCAGGGGACAGGGATTTAGCTCAGTGGCGCTGTGCCTGCCTTGTAAGTCCAAGTTCCTGAGTTCAGTCCCTGGTACCAGGGGAAAAAAATGCTAGCCCCAGTCACCTTGCCTTACCTGCCATTACAGAGTGCCCACCAAGCTAGAGAATAGTGTGCTATAATCTTTAATGTGACACTGGCCATGGTGACGTTACCATCACAATAGTAACAACCAGCGTTAATTTTCCAGTGAGGTGTTACTTTCAGGGAAAAACGGTTATCTAAAGATAAATAAAGCTTAGTAGTAGTACAAGTGAAAATGGAAGAGGCATGAGGATTGCCACAAATTCAAGGCCAACCTGGAATACACAGTGTGTTCAAGGCCACCCTGAACTACATAGCAAGATCCTGTCTCAAAAAAAAAAACAATGAAGAAAAAAAGAAGTGAGTCCAAAAACTTCCTCCATACTTTTGGATGAGTGATATTTTTTTTCCAGGATCTGTAGTATTGGAATCCACCACATATGACGATATGGGGGAGGTGTAGTGACTCATTATTTAAGACCTATTTTGTTTCTATACTTTTTTGTGTGTGTATGCTGAGTCCTTCCCCACCTTTCCTGCCGAGTGTGGTCATTCAGTTGTGTCCACCCTAGGGCTGTGTTTATTCCAGCTGGTCCTAGTTTCCATGTCCTTCTGTGGGCCCCAAGTCACTGCTTTCTCCACCTAGCTTTACCGCCTGTGGGTTTGTCAAATGCCCTCCCAGAGGCCCCTCTGTTCATACACCCAAGGCTGTGGCAGCAAGCCTCAGATATACCAAGCTGAGGTATATCCCTGATCTTGTTGGCAGTTTGGGAGAGGAGATAGACCACTGAGCTCTGTGCTTAGGTGTAGGCAGTGGCACAAGGGTTGTGGGATGGGAGTGGGGAGAATCAAGCATCCCTGCTAGACTTAATTCCAGCATTTTCAGGCCCAGCCCCCTCCAAAAACCACACATGACCAGATTAGCTTCTCACCACAGAGGACAAGATCTCCATCCATGACCTTCCTGGCCTGAGTTTAAACTTCTCAGGGGATCTACATCTACCCTGCATCCTTCACAACTGTCTCTTGTGGCTGACTCCCACCCAGTCACTATTTTGGGGAGACCCGAGAATCCTTGAAGTGTAGCTGTTCTATAGTTGATCTATAGCTCATTGTTTGTTTGTTTGTTTGTTTTTGGTGGTACTGGGGATTGAACTTGGGACCTTGCACTTTTGAGGCAGGCAGCGGAACCACTGAGCTAAATCCCCGGCCCTATAGCTCATTCTTAAACAACCTTTCCCTAAATGCCAACTTCTTTTTTTTTTCTTTTTTCTCTTTTTGGTACCGGGTATCAAACTCGGGACCTTGCACTTTAGCGAGGCAGGCGGTGGAACCACTGAGCTAAATCCCTGGCCCCCCTTTCCCTAAATGGCTCCTGATTAAACACTCAAATATGGTGGGCACTGCAGTGGATTACTTCTCCAACCTTAGTCTGCCATGTGGAAGGAGTTGCTTTCAGAGTAAAACTCCATACTGTTTTTTGCAATTTACAGTGACTGTGGGCTTTCCTTGGGGCTTAAGATGATGGTATGATCTGCTGTTTCTCCATGGAACTGCTTACCCTCTCTGGGCTTGTTTTGTGTTAGTGGAGACATGTTCCTCTTCCCCGTGGCCAGGGTTAGTGTTCCAGACTGCTGTGTTCCTTTCTCTGAGTTGTGTTCTATTCCTCCAGTTTCTCTGTAGTTTCTAGTTTTCCTGTTGTTGGCTTTTTTTTTTTTAAGGCAAGGTCTCACTATATAGTTCAGGGTTATCCTTGAACTCGCCGTGTACCCCAGGCTATCTTCAAACTTGAAGATCCTCCTACCTCAGCCTCCTGGTTCTATTATTGACTCTTAATTACAGAAGATCTACTTTTTTCCCCTACTAAGTTGTTCTCCAATTGTTTCAGTTTCGAGTCCAAGAGAAACTGTTTTGCTGCCAGTCTTTACCATTTTTAATCCTCCACAGATTTTCTCATATACATTATTTTTAATTGCAAAAGTTTCTCTAGTTGACACATTATGTTTCATTTCTAAAGTGAAATTACCACTATTTCTAAATGTCTCATTTCCATTTACTGATTTCTTTATTGTAAATAAAACCAAAACATCATCCTGGCAGTAAGCCAGTTACCCAGATTTCACTGGTGCCTCTTTGAAAGTTTTGTTTTGTCATGTGTGGTTGGTTGTATTCTGTGGTACCAAAGACAGAATCCAGGACCTTTATGCTGAGCTACATCCCTGGCCCTTTTTAAATTTTCTAGTTTTGACTGGGGATTTAGCTCAGTGGTTCCACTGCCTGCCTCACAAGTGCAAGGTCCCGAGCTCGATGCCCGGTACCAATACATACATACATACATACATACATACATACATACAAATAAATTATCTAGTATTTTGAGACGTGGTCATACGAAGTCACTTAAGTTGCCCAGGCTGGACTTAAATTTGTGATCTTTCTGCTTCAGCCTTCCAGAGTGCTGGGATTACAGGCATGTGCCACCATACTGGGCTTGGGTTTGTTTTGTTTAAAATATCAACTTTATTCCTAATGCAATTCAAATGAGATAAAGAAACCTCTTTTTAACAACTTTGTTTTTTAAAGGAAGAGAAGTTTGTTTTGGCTCACAATTTGTAGAAGTTTCAGTCCAGAGTCAGCTGGCTCCAAGGCAGAAGCAGCATGACACAGGGGCATGGCAGAGATCTTTTTAGCAAAGTGAATGCCATTATTGAGTGATCCAGTTCCAAAATTTATATTCACTACACATTTAATCTGAAAGAAAAAAGTCATCTCTATAAATTCCCCATCTTTATGCCTTCACCATATTCCAAATTTATAGCAAGTTTAACCCCTAGCCTTGTATACCAGTTACATTTTTGGAACATTTTTTTTCTTAACAACAACAAAAAAAGGGAAGCTGAAAAAGCTTGTATAAACTGTACTGTTTAGTGTACATTTATTCTGAATTAGCCATAATGCTGAGTGCTAAGGGCTATGAAGATGAATCTGCTCTCTACCCCCTTTCAGTCTAGCAAAAGAGAGACAAGTAAATAGGAGCTTCCATCTTTGTATGGTAAATTATCTGATAGAAGTAGACACCACTTATGGTGGGAGTAAAACTTGGCTTGTCAGTGAAGGTTTCTTGGAGGAAATATATTGTGGGTGAGTCCTATTTCATAAGAGTAGAAAGTTAGGAGTTTTCCTAGAATTTTGCTTCATTCTCCATAAATATGGAGTAATAATGTGAAATCTTGGAGGTAAAAGAGAGCTGAAGTGTGGCCTTCAGAAAGTAAGACAGGGAGAGGCAGAAAAACGATAGTTATAAGAATTGTGGATGGGCTGGGGATTTAGGTCAGTGGTTCTGCCGCCTGCCTCACGAGTGCAAGGTCTCGAGTTTGATCTCTGGTACCAAAAAAAAGAATTGTGGATAAGAGTTTGTTCTAGAATAGAAGATGGATTGATGATTTGAAGTCTCGTTAAATTTCCGTAGAAGTCCAAAAGCATCATGGAACATGACATAGGGTTTCGTTTTTTTCTTTCTTTTTTTTTTTTGGTACCAGAATCAAACTCAGGACCTTGTGCTTTCAAGGCAGGCATGGTGCCATTGAGCTAAATCCCCAGCCCAAGATAAGGTTTCTAGGAAGAAGACCTTTTACACTTTTATATGGTTGGATCAAAGCTGGTGTCCACCATCAGGCTTTCCCAGGCTGGAGTGTTGGCAGCATAGCTCTTTACCAAATTCCAGACACCTACTAGTGCTGACAAAATAGAAGCCATGTTACCCAATTGTGAGCCCTTTCTGTCCTATTGTTTTTCCAGGTATCCCAGAATACATTTCCATACAGGCCTCGTGGATGCCCATCTCTACTGCTTGAAAAAATACGTTGTAGATTTCCTAATGGAAAATAGGTAAGAAAGACGGAGGTAAGAAAGTCAAACATACAGGGGTTTTTTTGTTGTTTTTTTGTTTTTGCAGTGCTGGGGATTGAACCCAAGGCCTCACACATGCTAGGCAAGCATTGTACCACTGAGCTACATCCCTAGCCCAAATGAGCCATACAGTTCTTAACAAGCTGTAACAGTTTTAAATGGGGGCGAGGGGTTTGCTGGGGATCAAACTTAGAATCTTATGCACACCAGGCAAGCACTCTACTTTGAGCTACACCATCCCCCAAGCTTCTTTTAATTATTGTTGTTGTTTTGAGACAAGGTCTCACTATGTAGTTCAGAGTGGCCTTGAACTCACTGTGGCCTAGAACTCGTGATGATCCTCCTGTCTCAGTCTCCTGAGTACTGGGGTTATAGGTGTATACCACTATGCCCAACTAAGGTTGTTTTGGAGTTTGAGTGATTGTTTTCCCCCTTTTTTTCTTTTAAGTTACTGAGGATGAAACCCAGGGCCTCCCACTTGCCGGCACTCCACTCCCAAGCTACATCCCCAGGCCCCCCAACCTTGTTAATGCTAGATACCAGTTTATATAAATAGCACAGTTGGTTCTCACTTTTGTTTTAGAAATGAAGTGATGTCATCTACGTGCTGTTATTTTACCTGTACCAGTCTCCTCCTTGTATTTTCGGGATCTGTATTATTATAAATTAACAAAATATTTCTAAAACTTACAGTAATCCACAATGCCTCTTTCTGCACAGTTCCAGGCTTTTCTTCCCTCTTTTTACAAGGCTGAGCTCCCCTACTGTTATGCTACAATATTGTTCTCTAAATACTTTTCCTTCCACTATGCAGGTATCTTCTAGATGGGCCCTCTTAGCAAAGGTCACAGGTATACTCCAGAGTAGAAAAAAGAGAGAAAAGCAAATCTACCTCCAGTTTTGGAACAAAAGCCCACCCCCCTGAGTGTACTGTCATGAATGCAGAGAAACAAAATTTATACTTTTTCTTGTTTTGCTTTGAGAACAGACTTGTGGGCCTTAAATATTTTCTAGAGACAGACTGGTAGATCACAGATCTTGAGTTTCCAAAGAGAAAATGTCCTTTTAAAGTTGATCTCAAGGATTTTTTTATAAGAAGAGCAGCTAAAATCTTCAGAGAAATAGGTAGGGAAATATTTTTAATCCCCAATACCATTATCACACCAAAAAAAAAAAAACTGGGGCCAGGGATTTAGCTCAGTGGTGCTGCCACCTGCCTTCCAAGCGCAAGGTCCCAAGTTCGATCCCTGGAACCCCCCCCTCCCCCCAAAAAAGAAAAAACTGTTTCTTTAGAACTATCAGATAATGGGGCCAGGGATTTAGCTCAGTGGTTCCACCGCCTGCCTTGGCAAGCCCAAAGTCCGGAGTTTGATCCCCGGTACCAAAAAAAAAAGAACTATCAGATAATGTGGCTATTGGTGTCTGGATATACAGGCAGTTTTCCATCAAAGCTATCCTTATCCTGGCTGCAGTAGTTTTGTTTTGTTTTTTAATTTGTTTTCATTACTGGAGATTGAACCCAGGGCCTTCACACTGAGCTTGTGATAGCTTATTTGTACTTCATTTGGCCATTACCAGTTAGCTATATGCCCTGAGGACAAGCCTGAAATTGGTGACATGACTGTGGCTCCTGGCTATAAGCTCTAGCCATGGGACTTTCCCAGAGGCTGCTGTAATAAATAATATGGGTCTCCAGCTCCATCTACCTCCCCATCTCAAAATCTATTGAAGAAACCCTTAACTCTTTCCTCTCACCGCCTACCCTTGCCTCTCAGTTGCTAGAATCAAAAGGCATATATTAAAAGTTGGTAAATTTCAATGTATTGGGAAAGGTAGAAGAAACAGTAGGGTGAATTAAAGTGTTAATTGAGAGAGATTCTTTATTCTTGGCTAGAATAGTGCAGGCCTTTGAGAAGTTGTAAGAGAAGAAATTGAATAGGCTGAGATTGAATTGGTGGTAGGTAGCAATGTGTAGGTCTTTTTTTTGGGGGGGGAGTACTGGGGCTCGAACTCAGGACCTTACGCTTTCAAGGCAGACATGGTGCCACTGAGCTAAACTCCGAGCCCCAGGAATGTTTAGGTCTTGAAAGCTGAACATAGAGTTACAAATATTTAAATAGTGTTAGCCAGGTGTAGCGGCACACACTTGTAGTCCCAGCTACTCAGGAAGCTGAGGCAGGAAGATTGAAAATTTGAATCCAGGCTGGGCAACTAAGTGAGATCTTGTCAGAAAATAAAACAGGCTGAGGATATAGATCAGTGCTGCCTGGGTTCAATCCCCTGTACCACTGGGGGGGGAGGGTGTTGTACACCCATAATCCTAACCCTTGGGAGGCTGAGGCAGGAGAATCGGAGAATCTCTGGGTTAGAGGCTGGCCTGGGATACATAGCAAGTTCAAGACCAGCCTGGACTTATAAAGGATCCTGTTTTAAAAAACAAAAGAGGGAAGGGGCCAGGGATTTAGCTCAGTGTTCTGCCACCTGCCTCGAAAGCGAAAGGTCCTGAGTTTGATCCCTGGAACCAAAAGAAAAAAAGAGGAAGAAAGCCAGGTATAGATGTGGTGGTATATGCCTGTAATCCCAGCACTCAGCTGAGGCAGGAAAATCACTTCGAGTTCAAGACCAGCTGGACTACACAGTGAGTTTAAGTGAACTACATAGTGAGACCCTATCTCAAAAACAGAACATTTAATTTAAAAAAAAAGGATGCCAGGCATGGTGGCTCCTACCTGAAATCCCAGCACTTGCAAGGCTGAGGCAGGAGGATCACCATTAGCTCAAAGCCAGTCTGGATTATATAGTGAATTCAAAGCCACCCTGAACTACACAGTGAGTCCCTGTCTCAAAAAAACAAAAACAAAAGTTCTGGCATCCAGCCCGGGATTTAGCTCAATGGTGTCACCGCCTGCTGTGCAGGCGCAAGGACCCGAGTTTGATCCCCGGTACGAAAACAAAAAAAAACTGGCATCCATGTGACTTGATTGTACGTGATAACAAAATTAAGCCAAGAGAGTGTGACTTCTAAATCTCACCTGTTATTTATTGGCTGTGTATGGATATCTGAGGATGCTGTTGCTGCCAAATTAATGACAAACAAATTAAACCAGAGTAGTCTGAGTTTGTTTGCCTTTCTTTTTCTTCCTGCCTTCCTTCCTTTCTTTTTTGTGATACTGAGGACTGACTGAACCCAGGGTTTTCACACACAGCTACATCCCCAGCCTTTTTAAATTTTGAAACAAGGTCTTGCTAAATTGCCCAAACTAAAAATAATATTGTGCTCTTTTCATTCAGTACTATTTCATGAGCACTTTCCTATGTCATCAAAAAATTGTTTGTAATCACAGTTTTATCTATGTGATAGTCTGTTGTATAGGTGGTTTTTGTTTTGGCTTTGTTTTTGTTTGCTTTTATAGTACTGAGAATTGAACCCAGGGCCTTCATACTGAGCTATATCCCAGGTTTTTTTATTTTTTATTTTGAGACCGGGTCTCACTAAGTGCCTAAATTGCTCCGGCTGGGTTCAAACTTGCAATCTTCCTACCTCAGCCTCCCAGAGTGTTGGGATTAAAGACATGAACCACAATTCTCAGTTTAGTGTATTATTATTATTGTTATCATCATCATCATCCTGGTTTTGGTGTTTTTTGTTGGTTTTTTTGTTTTACTTTTTTGTTTTTTGGTACTGGGGATCGAACTCGGGACCTTGCACTTGCAAGGCAGGAAGCAGAACCACTGAGCTAAATCCCAGCCCCATGGTTTTGGTTTTTGATTGTTTTCTATTTTTATAAAAAACATTAGAAAAATAACTTTTTAAAGATTTTTTTATCCCTGGTACTACTACTACTACTACTACTACTAATAATATTAATAAAGATTTTTTAATCTGATTATTCAGCAAATTTTCATTGAACATAATGGATTTTCCTTAGAACAGATTTACAGAAATGGAATTACAGCATGAACTAATACAAATATGTTCAAGTCTTTTGCTGTGTATTGCCAATGACTCTTCAGAAGCAATTTTTTTTCTTTTTTTTTTTTCTTTTTTTTGGTACTGGAGATCCAACTCAGGACCTTGCACTTGCGAGTGAGACGATGGAACCACTGAGCTAAATCCCCGGCCCTCTTCAGAAACAATTTTACCCTATTATCTCCCACTATATGAGAGTCACTGTTCTCAAAGTACTCTTAGCAGTAAGGCAGTTTATGTTAAATTTGCTAATTTAGTTAGAAGAGAAATTGCATCTTATTTTCATTTTTATGTCTTTGAAAATATTGTACATGTTTTAGAAATATTTATATATTTTTCTGTGAAAAATGTTACTCCTTTGTCCTGTAGCAATTGTTTTTGTCCTTTTTTTTTTTTTTTTTTTTTTGGGTACTGGGGATTGAACTCAGGACCTTGTACTTACGAGGCAGGTGACAGAACCACTGAGCTAAATCCCCAGCCCCTATTTTCTCTTTTTATTTTGGTGGAATCACTGTTTACAGCTAGTAGTCAAAGCTATTATTTGCCTTTGTTATTTCTTTCTTTCTTTTTCTTTTATCCACATCTGTTTTTATTAGTGTATATTGGTTATTCAGAGTAATGGGTTTTATTTTGATAGATTTGTACTCCTTTGTGATTTCTTGAGAAGAACATTTACAGTAATTTCATGAGATGAGAGTTTCTGAGAAGCCTATATAAGAAGAGAGATTGCCTAGCATTTGTGAGGCCCCTGGGTTCCATCCCCAGCACTGCAAGAGAAAGAGAGACAGACAAAGTGAAAATGAAGAAAGATAGTGGGGGCATTGTATGCAGCTGGTATCCTTCAGGCCCAAGATCAGGATGTTCACAAAGGTTCACAGTAGCTTTGATGGGGGAGGTGATTTTATAGTACTGGAAATTAAACCCAGGGCCTTTTGAGTTACATCCTGAGTTACATCCACAACCTTTTTTTATTTTTATTTTGAGACAGGTTCTAAGTTGCTAAATTGCCTAGGCTGGGATCAAAGTTTCCATCCTCCTGCCTCAGTATCCCAGAGTACTGAGATTACAGTTGAGCTCCACCAAGCCCAGCTTTACAGAAGCCTTGTATGACTTCTTGGCACAGCTTTGAGCTGCCTGCACTCTGACTAGAAACCAGGAAGAGTAATTCTGTCATTCACTGGGCTGCTAAGCCATCTGCATTGTGGGAATTGACCTAATGCCAAACTGTAGCAGAAGTGGGTGGGACATGGTAGGATGGTTTCCTATCTTCTCTCCAAATCAATCACTGATGTCCTTGAGCTTATACTGATGGGGCTGTGTGCCAAAGGCTTGTTTGCTTGCCTCTTGCAGTGACAGTTCATTCTGTTTTGGTCCATAACATAAATACCATGGCCCTGAAAGCCTCCAGCTGCCCATGCTTTGTCCTTTCTTCAAAAGAAACTAACTGACTTGTTTTCCAGTGGAGAGGACCAAGGAACATTTGCTACCCACATTGCATTAAAAGAAGAGAAAAAGAGCTAAGAATAAGTGTTGTTTCATTGTTTGTATTCATATGGAGATTTTTAATCTCCATCAAAGGGTCAGGAGAAAAATCACATTGAAATTCAATACAAGAACACCCAGCTTACATAGAATTTTTCAAAGATGTTTGGCTTGATCCTTTAAAAATAACAGAAACTATGAACTATGTAGCTCCAGGGTTCATAATTTTTCCCTCCCTTCCTCAGCCTCTTGGCTCTGCCTCCGCATTGCCTTCCTACCTACGCTCAGCTGTGTGGTCCTGTGTCCGAGGGCTGAGTGAGCGACTCCCATGTGAGGGCTGGGCTAGGGGGTGAGAACTGTGCAGCGGCAGTTGGCTTTCCAGGGCTACCAGTGCTTTAACCTTTCTTTCAGGCCTCATTATCTCATCTCTCAGATTATTAGGACTGGTTTTCCTAGCTTTATCTCAGGTCTTCTTCTACCGTGCTTGCAGAATTACCTTTTTAAGAAATAAAACTGATCATGTCACTTTCCTGCTTAAAAACCACCAGGGCCTTCTTAGTTCAGATTTTCCAGACCACCACAGAACACTTCCACATTCTGGCTCCCTTGCCTACCTAATCAATCAGCTTCACTCTCACTACCTTTCTCCTTTAATATATACCAAGCAATTGCTCACTGGATTTTTTTTTTTTTTTTGTACCGGGGATCAAACTCAGAGCCTTGCACTTTCGAGGCAGGCGCCGGAACCACTGAGCTAAATCCCTGGCCCCAGCTCACTGGATTATTAATAAAGTCAGAAATAGTATATGACCAGCTAGGCATGTGTGGTGACAGACTTCTGTAATCCAAGCTACTTGGGAAGCTGAGGCAGAAGGATCATACATTCAAGGCCAGCCTGGGCAATTTATCGAGACCCTGTCTCAAGATAAATGGTGATGGGGCCTTGGGATGTAGCTCAGTGGTAGAGTGCACTATAATAGATAGTTGATAAATGCTAAATAAATTAGTGATTTAAAATTCTAATAAAGTCTCATCCATCAGCTTTCATTTCTCTTACTAAGTATAAATCAAAAGCAAGTAGGGTACAATGGCACATATAATCCCTTCACTATAGGAGGCTGAGGCAGGAGGATTACAATATCAAGTTCCACCTGGGCAATTTAGTGAGAGTGTCTCAAAATTAAAAAAACAAAAAGTGTTGGGGATG